GACAACACACATTATTTTAACTTTTATTTCATTATACTTACAGTGAGCTATGCTTACTCTATGTCCACTGAATACTTATTAGAACTGGAGAAAGGCATTCTGCTGTCAAACTACAGGCATCTTCAGGATAGTAAGAGAAATATCACTGGTTATAATCTATTACCTGTGGCATAAGGCTTTTTATACTATTGCGCTGCTTTGTGGGGAAGAGCAACATCATGCGTGGTTCTCACAACCAGAATTCAAACCTATCTTGAATTCTATCTATTCTATCAGGTTCTGTGCTATCTGTTACATTTGTAGGGAGTTACATATGACATTGGTTTAGGTGATTTTCCCACTACTACTCTCTATTGTGATGCCCACTGATTTTCTCTAGAGGTTGTAGACTTGGTTGCACACTGTATGTTGGATAGTGGCTGTGAGTAGCCCTTTCCCCTCCAGTGTTGCTCACACTGGTGCTGCCTGCCTTCCCTTTCACAGGGAAAAAATATTTTTGTTTTCCTCTGTCCCAGAAGTGCTTCCATACTATTGCAGGATTCTTCTATTTCACATTCAAAAATGATTTTATTTCACTGATCTGCCAGGCTTTTGCTCTATTTGCTAAATTATTTTTTTAAAATTATATTCTCCACTCTTTTGTATTTATTTGCAGAGAAAAGAAAAAAAACTGAGCACAAAGCACATGTAAAATGTTACTTGTTCTGAATGAGTCCTGCATGCCCCTAGCATCCTGATATGTGAACGTGAGGAGCTCTCCCATTTAGACAGACTAGTTTTCCAATGAATATGAAATGGACTGAGAAGGCATAGTGCTGTGATTTTCCTCACTGACTATTTACATCTAATTGCCACAGTTTTAGGTCTTTGTGGCTAGGATGAAATACAAATGCTTGAAAAGACTTTCCAAAGCACTGTATTTTTTAATACACACAGTAGAAGAGCTTTCTTCCACATTTTCTTTTCTTCCATGTACTTTTGCATGCTAGATAGTAACTAATTTTGACAGAACAGTATATTATGCACTTTTTATTCGAAATACAGTTGTTCTAGTTGCAACTAATACCAGAACTAAAACTCACAGCAGCAGTGGCTAGAGAAAAAGTAAATCCAGTTGTAAAACAAGTGAATACTGTGCTGGTGTGGTCACTTACTTATATTTATAACCCCTGCTTGTGTTTTAACAATTCGATGCTTGTTCTAAGATTTTTCAATGCTTGACATACCAGAATGAAATTTAAAATACCACATCCCACTTCACCAGATCCCAATTCTGGCTGGGACCATTCATATTGAAATGAATTTTGGGCTAACCAGAAGAATAAAATGAAGCCTTACTCTGCTGAAGGAAAAAGTATGTATTATTCATATAAACCTATAAAAGCCTAAGTGGAAAAATATATGCTGATGCAATATTCATGGATATGAACATGGAAGAGAAAAGGCTCACTTACATCCTAAATTCAGGAACTGGCGCTACGATATTGTGACAGTTCATCACCAAAGACACCCACAGGAGAACACCATCAGCTCTCCCCCTCCTTCGGTCAGCAAAAGCACTGTGTGGGTTGCCGGTGGAGAAGGCTTTTGCTGCAAAGGAGCAGCAGTTGTGAAAACACGACAAGAGAGCAGCTGTGAAGCCTTCTGTACCAGACGATCCAGAGGATGGCAGAAGGCTCTGAAGACAGCCATTCCCTTGCCTGCCCCAGTATCTATCATTACTTGTTACAGAAATGGGTCAGTACCTCTTTGTTCCAACAGCCCTCTCCCCTCCAACACCTGTCGGTCCATCCTCCACTGTTGGCCAACACCCCTCCAGCCCTTCCCCAACCTCACGTTCCACGTGTGCCCACATCCTTGATCAGCATCCACGAAAATAACTCACCTCTTGAGACCACCGGGCCAGTTACCACCCTGACTACATGCCCACCTTCCCTTCTCCAAGAGCTATAGCCAGAGACTAACTGCGGCTGTGCCTGCTGGTGGCAGGGCTGGGTTGTGGCAGTGTTGCCCACGGGCTGCAGGTGTGACCACCTGGCAGCAGGCACACCAGCGCTTGACAAGGTGCCCCTCGCCAGCCTACAGACCCCCCCACGTATCAATCATCTGCGGCATCCTACACACCCAACAGTGCAAACATTGCATAATAGGCTAGGGAAGCTAGATTTTGTGTCTTACAGAAACAGCTGAGTAGGAACCTTTCCAGATATGCAGAGAGAAAAAAAAAAGCTTACATGGACTTGGCTCTAGTGTTCAGAAGCAAAATGCATTTTGAAAAGCTGGACAAACTCACAGAGGCATTTTGATCTATGGACAGCTGTCGGTTAAGTTTGTCTGTCTTTGTACCAGCCAATGCTATTCCTATCAAAAACTGAAAGGTTCAGAGGGCCAGATGGTGATGTTGTGCTTTGTGAAAACTCAGTTCCACCATATTTTTCCATTTAGTTGTGCTCCTCAAAGCAGCACCTAGTGTGCAAAGCAAGGAGAGCGTGAGAGACAGGCATCATCCAGTTTTTCTGCGCTGTCCTTCAGAGATAGTGTCACAAACTCCCCATCTAGATGGCTAGGTATGGTGGTTGGCTCACTCCCTGGTTTGGTCCCCTGGTCCACTGATTTCTCTTTCAAGAAATACAGTTTGGTTTGGACCATAGTAATCATTTCATGACTATGGATCACACTTAAGGAATCAAATCAGGGGAGTTTGGATAATTAGAAAATACTCCTCAGGGATCACTGTCAAGCCATCTGGCCAAAGGCATCTCAATTCTATTTTCTCAAGAAGCCCTCATGCCCACACTAACCTGCCAAGAAACCCTCTGGCAGAAACCAAAAATCAGGGTAGCAAACGTTATTGAATGGGTGCCCCCAAGCTGTGACTACAGGCAGGAGGGGACCTCCAGGCTTGATGTCACTCCACACTGACAGAAAAAGGGCTGCGAGCAGACTGTTCCATGCAGAGCGTGCTGCTTGCCGTGTGCAGACCCATGCTGTAAGGCCCATCTCACCCATCTGTCACGAGGATGGCCCAAGGTTGCTTTGTGAAAGTTTCTGTGGAGCAAAAAGGTGGAGAGGGGTTTTAAACTGTCCACATACCTGGTCATAAGATGATGTCTGATGGAAAATGTGTTGTTGCGTTGTTACTTTTTGCCTCCAGCATTTCTATCTGCCAAAATGTGTGTAAATTTGTTCATGGTATAGGAGAGCGTAAATGAATAAAAAATACATACAATAATAGCTGCTTATTTCAGAGGAAGAAAAGACTACTGGATCCCTAAAGTTCTTTCACTCACATCCCCAGATCTTCATATCACCGAGCCTGAAATAAACTTGAACCACCACTTCTTAGAAGTGGACTTGGGCTGATAAAGTGTAACAGTGTTAAACACAACAAAAAGAACTGCAGAATGGGATGTTATCATAACCGACTTCATTTTTTCACAGTGGCCTATTAGTGTTTTTTTTTACAGTAGCAACTGAAGTGCCCAGCTCCTTCAACTTCTGTTTCCTTAGCAATAAGATGAAGTGCCTTGTTTACTTTCCTTGTTGTTTAGTTACCTCTTTGTATCTCAGCTCTTCATTTTGACATATTTCACTCAGAACTCTGTCCTTCCAAAGGATTAAATTTGGTTTAGGAATATTAAATACTGAGTTCTCATCTGCAGCAGTAGAAATTATAGATCAATAGGGTTTATTTTCATTATCTGAACAATGGAAACATTTCTTCCCCAGTCCTTAAGTACAAACTCCCTCCACAAATTCATCACCACAATCCCTCTTAGATTTTACATTAGGTACTAGGTATTATAGACTAGCTATGCGATCCCCGTGCTTGTGTGCTTATTTTTAGGGATCCCTTGTGGGATAAAAGCAACTATCAAAATGTATTTACTTACTTCCTCCCTTCCTTATTTTTTTAGCTGCAGTTCTATCACTACATATTTTATGACAGCTCTGCCTTTCAGCATCTTTTATTCATGGAAGGATCAGTCCTCCACCCTTAGCTCTGCCTGTATCTCACAAAGCCATTGATAAAATCTGTCACTGAAATCCCATGGCTCAAGCTGAATCAGGGCTACTGCACAGTTCTGAGAGTCCTCATAGAAAAGTCTCCGCTTGGTTGCTTTTTCATTCTTATTTCCCATCATATCTGCGTGGCGTCTGCTCTTTCATTTATCATCTGTGCCAGGGTAGAAGAGTTCAGTTGTGTGGCTGCATGCTATGTCAGTTATTCAGAGCACTGATGCTTTATGAAAGTGGCCTGCAGCCATCAGACAGAAATTGTATAGGTTTCTAACAGAGGAGAGACAGATGTCAACGTGCATTCTGTAGTGGGATGAATAACTACTTTTATAAAAAGAGCACTGGCCCAGTTTTTGAAGGGTAAAATGAGTGGCAAGGTTTGGTGCTCATGTATTTCTGAGGAGCTGCACTCAAGGGGCAGTTTCATTACTAATCACTTCCTTCTCTTTTCTGTGAAGCCAGTAGACACTGAACCATATCCTTACCATCATGGAAAGCTGAAAGTAGAAAAAGTATCTAAAGGTGGTAATGGAAACACTGTATGAGTAAACGCACTTGGGGTAAATATTTCTTTTAAGTTTCCTGTGTGCTGTGGACTCCTGACAACAAGGATGTCCTTTGCTGACAAAACATAACCAGCCTTTGTGCCCTGTGCAGGGTCTCCAGGACTGAAACAGGCAAAAATCAACAGAAAATGGAAAATTATTCTTCAGAGTAATTGTTAAAAAGGGGAAGAAACAAATTAGCAAAAAGAATTCTAGTACTTCAATTAATCTCAGACCGAACATCTGTACCTTTGCTAATATGAAAAGGAAAGGAGAGAATACCCATGAGACTGACGTTCGCACACCAAAATCCCACTTCTCATATGTCTGTATGGCAAAGCCTTCCGTTCATTAACAGAAAAGACACATATGAAATCATGCAGCGTAAGTATAGCAAAGCAGAATAAATCCTGAACACATCAGGCACCATCCTACCTTTCCTGGAGCCCCACAGGTTTCATTCTGAAAGGAGATGGACTGACACACAGGGGAGGTTTGAGCTCAGGAACACACTGGCCTTGAGGGTCCACTACAACATTGACAATCTTTGGAGCCTGTTCAGTCTGGACCATGCTGTTGGTGGTCTTATACTCGGACTGAGACGTCTGCAGAGGAAGGGGTGAGAGGTGGATCTCCTGCTTCTTCTCCTTCTCTTGTCTCAGTGACAACTGGATCTTCTCCTTTAATCTGTAGAGAACCTACAGAAGTAAAGACAATAGCCCAATCTCAATTCCCTGGTAAACAAGGCTGAATAAGATTGCTATACATGGCTTTCATTCCTAGAAGGTAAGCCACAAGTTGTGTTACACAGAATATCCCACAACAGGATAAATATTTCCATTACATAAACCACAGTGTGCACATGTGGGTGGTAGGGATTTTAACAGTTCTCATTGTGATCCAGTAATTATTTGTAATGCCAGCAGTTTTATTATTAAAGAGACAAATAACATCAAATACAGAATAATTACCAAAGATGCTGTGAAGAAGGAAATATTGATAAATAAGTAATTGTAAAAAAATCTGTAAGAATTTTAACACAGGAAAAACAATGGCACAACATAAAATAGATGTGCATGATACATCCAGGTACATGTCTCTAATTACATGTCTCTGTTTTAGAGCTTTTAAGAAAGCTTACTCATATTGCATGGAGCTAGTGGTTGAACAGAGTAACTTTATTAGGCACTTTTGAGATGATAGGCTGCTACTACTCTAAAATACTCCTCAGGATAAGAACATCCCTCAATGGCCTCAGAGAAAATCAACCCATTGTGTCATAAAGCTGAATCAATGCACAATCTATGAAGCTATTTAAGCATCTGTTCAGAAAATTTTCACAATTGCCAAGACATTGACATCTGAATAAACCGCAATACTAGGATTCTCTAACTATTGCTTATGGTTGTCAGATATCTGCAGCAGAAGCTTTTCAGAAGCGGTACTGATCCTCTTCCACAAACTCCACACTGATGTTGCTGTACAGTGGCTTGGTGAGGGCTGGTGCATAGCGTGTACTTGGTAATGTCACTCCAGAGGAACCTGTTTAACACTTCATCTCTCTTGAGGGCAATGCAAAAAACTATTTCCATGCCATATTCAGAATGTGCCCTACAACCTATGAAACTTAGGAGAATTACTATTGTAAGTATTGTGTGTGGAGGTGGGTGAAAGGCACCTGCACTACTTTTTGAAGGTGTATGCAGATATCCTTCTACCTTCTACTTTGCTTTATTTGTTGCCATGAAGTAGTTATATTGAATCCTGGTTTGCAAACCCATAAAGAGAAAGCCTAGGCCAAATCATTTTTCCATTCCAAGTCAGAATCTCTTTGACAGCTGCTGCCCTGCTAGCACCACATAAAGATCTATCACTCCACAGCTTTGCAGTGAAGACTGGATATATCTGATGGGTTTGTTTTTTGAAGGATTAGCATTAGAGGTTTAGCTGAGAACTAACCTAATGTCATTAGCAATACATCCATTAAACAAGGCTTAGCTACGTAAACCATCTGTCCATTCAGAAGAGTTTAGAATTAAAATACATGGATAAGGTTCTTTTTGCCATTATTCTGAAGGAAAAAAACCAGCCCTGCTGCAAAGCAAAGACACAGGTATCAGTAAAGATAAAACAGGGGCTTGAAATTTTTTAACTCTCTTTTCCTCCAGTGATTGTTTTTGTCTCATTTGTTTCTGGTAACCCACAGATAAACAGCTCAACATTCACAGTCATGACAATGCTAATCATATCTTCTTGCCACTGATGTATTTTGACATAGTTTTGTCCCTTGGAGACCCAGGGACAAAATCATAGTTGTGAATTAAAAATACCTAAACAAGTATTATTTAATATCCTTTTAAATACTCTATTATTAGAGCCTAGGAAGAAAGATAGCATGCTACCAGCAGAAGTTGAAAAAAAAGCTAAAGAACTACATTTGATCGAAGAGCTAACACACTTTCCTCAGAAACTGTGTTCTTAATGAAGTCCAGATGAAAGTCAAACAAATAGAAATGGCCAAGAGGACAGTGACCAACCCAATCACCAAGCTCAGAGACAAACTCACTTATGGATAGAAACATATATGAAGCCCCTAAATTACAACACCTGACATTTCTCTGATACCCCTGAAGATTCATTGTGAAGATAACCAAGAGACATGGAGCAACTGAACAACACAATGTACTATTTTCCAGGAAACACAAAGTGAGACACCTGCAATTTTTCCATCTTAATATTAAGCCTAGGGTTCAAAGGCACAGTCCAAAAGGAAAACAACTCTTCTTTCTGCCTCCTCTTTGACTCGTCTTATATGGAAGAAAGACAGGGTGCTGACAGCATGACATTTACTCTTTATTTCTCTGCTCAGATTTCTGCAAAGGAAAGCTGACAGGTTATGCCCTAGCTTGGCCAGTATCTCTCACTTACCCATTCAAAATACCAGTGGAAACTTCTTTTATTCATCTTCAGAGTCTGACAGGAAAACCCAATGAGAATGTCTCCAGAATGAAGATCTTGGCAACGGTTATGTGGAGCAGTGATACCAAAACTCACCTGCCCAGAGATATTCAGGGCACTCCAATCTTTATAGTAAAAATCTCCCAGAAACCATGAAAATTAAGAGAGTTCACTATAGTGAAAAGTGTTCTAACAAGTACTTATCAACATGTGTGTCAGGCTATATATTTATTTCTGCCCGAGCAGAGCTATAGTGTATGTGTATATATAAGAAGAAAATGGGCTAACAAAAATTCCCTCAAACCCTGGGGAAGGAATGAAAGACCAAAAATTATGACAGATGTTAGTTTTGTTGTTTGATTCATTACTGGGAGGCGTTTGGATACCATGATTTGAATGTACTATAAAAACTTCTATAGAAGCAGAATAGAAGAATTCAGACAATCAAGGACTAGTTTATAGACAAACCCCCTATTTTCAAGTTGTCTTAAACATTCCTGCAGTATGATAAAAACAAATGCTGTTAATTTTGATTTAAAAGTTTAAGCTGGTAAAAGCTGGAGTTGATAAACAGATATTAATCAGTTGTATATATTCCATAATCAAAGAGCTCTTAAAAGACCTGCACCACTTTACGAATATTGAAATTTGTAAATTTAAGAACAAGAGATAGGTCATGTGAAAATTTTATGCTGGAATGAATTTTTTCCTTATTCAATAGTCTTCTTGTTAAAGAAATTCCAAAATACAATTAAGAAGCTGAAAACATATTTATAATTTAAGGAACTCTCTCCTCAAAACAACAAATAACTCTTCATGACTCACAAAACTGTGGAGAAGGTAATAAAAATTTAGATCCTTGCAATATGCTGACAAGGCAAAGGTCATGGAATCATAGATTCATAGAGCAGTTTGGGTTGGAAGGGACCTTTAAAGATCACCAAGTCCAACCCCTCTGCCATAAGCAGGGACATCTTGCACAGGTCAGATTGCTCAAAGTTCATGTCTTTTGTTATTTTAAAGGAAAAAAAAATTCCTATTTTTAAATTTTTTTTTAAGAAAGCCCCCTTAGCACAACTACGTACAAATATTTCATAATCTAAAGGTGATATTTCCTGACTGCTTAACAGATATGTATATATTTTACAAAAATATTACACGCAAACGTCATGGTTTATTAAAACAGGGAAAATTAGTAACAAATATGATAGCACGCAGTAAATTTCTTGATGGCTTAGTTATTTCCAATGTAAAATAAAAGTTACAGAGAACTGTTTTACATATAGGAGTGCAAAATCTGTTTATTCTTACTTAGCACTTTCCTTGGCAAAGTTAAATGATGTACAATGTTCCAAATGGAAGTGAGCCAACGGTCAGCCCACGAAGAAGAAAGCAATGATCTTTGTGTTGGCTTCCACATATGATGAATTGCTCCTGCAATGCAAGAGGTTCCCATACCATGACAACAAGGTCTAGCTTAGTAAATACATAAAACTACCTCAGAGGTACAATTTACAAGTCTGAATTTAGTTCATGTGCTGCTGTATTACACTGTTTAGCAATAGTCTTCACTGTAGATTGTTACATATAGAGGCCAAATATCTGTTGCATTCCAGCCAAGCATTAAGAAACCTAAACGCTGTTAATGCACAGTAAGCTCTCAACTCAGGGAAGCATCATGATTTGTGAAACCCAGTTAAGAGACAAAGATCCGTGTTTTATAATTTCTGTAGAAATGAGACAGAACAAAGTGTTATCACTGACAATTCTGTTGCCTTACACTGAATACTGTTGTTACCATAATTGTCACTTGAAGTACTTCCTACTCCACGCTTCAAAGGTCACTTCCAAGTCACCTACAGATGCAGGGTAAGCTTTCTGCTTTTGGACCCTCTAAATTACAAATAACTACCTGTGGACAACGAGGAGCCTACCCTGTAACTTTAAAAAAGAGGCTGCATTTTGGTAGTCTCATATGGTTGCTACAGCCAAAGCTACTTTGGATGAGCCCTAATGCCTTATGTTATAGCCAAATGGTATGATAGATCACAATGGCTAAATTTGAATTACTGCATTCCTACTTATCATAAATCTGCCACTCTGACACATGTAAAGTAGGATGAAAAACAATGTATGCTGGTTGTTAGCCTTATAGATTGCACATAATCCATGCATCAGCAGGTCGCGGAAAAATCTAGGCAGTCTAAACAGCAGCACACACAAAGATACAGGTTGGACTGGGAGAGGACAGAAAAAGGAATGCCTGCAGAAAAGACCACAGCATCAAAGTAAATCCATCTGAAATTTCAAGGAGTCTGCTAGCATTTACCTCTGCCTTAATTCCAGATCAGCTACACCCAAACTATTCCTGACAGATGCTTGCCTAAAACCTTAATGGGTGAAAACTCCCGAGTTTCTCCAAGCAATGCACTCCAGGGTCTAGTGACACATGTGATAATAAAGTTCCTTCTAATAAGTCAGTCAAATCACCATTTCAAAAAATTTGTGTCTTTTCCAGTGGCCAGGGGAGAAAGTATTATCTTCTTCCTTACCACAGCCTTAGAAATCTTTCCATGTTTGAGAACTATCATGTTTCTTCTTGATCTTCTTCTCTCTGTCATAATTAAACCCAATTATTTCATGTCTTCTGTATCTCTGATCACTCTTCTATCTCCTCACTTATCTGCTTCTCCAAAGTAAAAAGTTTAAGGAAAAGTTAGTACTCCTAGAGTGAACCTTCTATTTTTGAGTGAGATGGCATGGAGACAAAAAGATGAATAAGAAGTAGAAATTATATAAAGCAACAATTTTTGTGAGAAAATAGGTGCTTTTCAAATCTTAGGGAGACTTTAAAAGCTTAAATAAGATTTTGTTATAAATATGAGCTCTTATTAATATCTTCATCATATCTGGCCACTGAACTCACACAATGTGAATGGCAAAACTCTTAAAAAACATGATCACTCCTTCATGTACTTACTAGTTATTTCAGTTCAAAATTTTTATATTCAGTACATGAATACCAACACACACTCTAACAACTGTGCAATACTGTGTCAATAGGATGTTTTTACTATCCAACAAAACTGAAATACAGGCAGCTAACATGACTTCAGGGATCTAGGGACCTTAGTAACAAGGTTGAGAAGTCATCGCTCATGTCATTACACAGTTACTCTGCAGATTTAAGAGTCCGTTATTTATTTCTTCAGCTTCCTTCCAGGTACAGTCTTCAATTGGGCTCAAAACATAGCAAGAAAAGTTGTTCTTCAAAATGGCTTCACTGCATTATGACAGCAACCAACTCCTACCTTGTAGCTGAGTTTAATAGTTTTGAGAAAACACCTCTCATGTAAATAATATATAACACTATTGTTCAGACTGAGAAAAGCATGAATTAAAGAATGGCAATAAAAAGGTAGAAAGGAAACTTACCATTAAACAGGTTACTAGAATGACAAAGATGCTGAGAAATATGACGACCGCATAAAATCCTTCTTTGCTCCAGATTTTGTCTGCTTCATGCTGGCCTTGCAAAACATTTTTCTTTTTTAAGCAATAAAAGAGAGAGAGGAAGAGGAAAAAAAAGTTATACAGTAACAAGCACAGATTAGCTCTCGTCAGCCATTAATGACACTCCACAGCTTTGTCACAGTTCACATTCCACAGTATATGGCACTCATGCACCCCGCCTGGGCTCTGTGCCTGCGTGCACAACACCCAGGGGTCCTAACGTTGCATGAGACAGTCTAAGACCTCCATAGCTGCTAAGATAATCCTCCAACAGAAGTCCTGGGCTGGTTGAAGGTAGGTAAACAAGACTCGTGGTCTTTCTTGGAAAGTACCTGGCTTGCCAGGTAAAAGGGCAGTGCTCCCGCATGGGCTGCGGGAACCGCTCGCCCTGCCTCCTTCTCCCTGCTGCTTATCTCCAGCCCCACGCGCCCGCCTGGGCACTGCTTATTCTTGACACAGGAGCAAAGAGCAGGTGACTGGCTGGTTTGCCTTCGTGAGCAGGGAGGTCCTGACACTGTCACCTTTAGAGTACCCACACACCTACATGTGCCTATGTAAAAAAATTCTGATTATGCTGAAAGTAATCTCATTATCTTTGGGTTCCTGCTGATAGCACCTTTCTAAAACATCTGTGCACACTAAAATTTCCAGAGCTACTGGGGAACTCCTGGGGATTATGAAATAATAATAATTGTAAAAGCATTTATTTTTGGCTTTCCTGCGGTGTGGGGACTTGTCTGGCGTATTCCATTACCACAACTTCACTATATTTCCAAATACAGTTTTGGTAGTAGAAATAAGATATGTGCACCCTTAATCTAACTGCAATATATGATTTAGAATAAGTTATACCATCTTGCATTTTTATGATTGCTCTCCCAATCTTCAGCAACTTGCTTTTCTTAATTGGGTACTTTCAGTACAGTTTTCAGACTGAGTAAAAATTACTTTCTTTAATTCTGGTTTCCACTGTACATGTTCAAGGTCCGGATGTTTCCCTTTTGCTGAAATTCCCTAATGGCTTTAACTAAACTTCTTGTTTAACTAGTGAGTTGTCTTCCCAGCTCAAGGTTGCAGATGGTTTTCTGGGGACATTTTGTAAAAGGACTGGAAGTTTTCCACAAAGGAAAGAGTTCCTCTGCTTAAAGATGAGTGGCTGCGCACTGGGCCTGTGTAACTGCAATGACCCCTTGCACTTTGAGCAGGTACCTCACACTCCAAGCTCTGCTTAAACACAGATTAATCTGCTCTTTTGAACAGTTAATATATCAAGCAAACTCCTTGTGTCCACCAGCCTCCCAGACCCAGAAAGTCCTGATGAAGTTGAATTCCTGTGGAAAGGTTTGATGAGAAGGAGGAGATCACGGCCTGGGGAAGAGATGACAAAAACCCGCTGCATGCTGCACCCAAACATAGATTTCACGGTCCTCCTTTCAGCTGAGGTTTGTGCTCTGCTTGCTTTTTAAAGGGCCACAACAATGCAGATTGAACTCAATGTAGATGCAAGAAACTTCACAGATTATGTTGCCATAATATGAAAACATATAGAGAATTATTTGGTAGCTTTGTTAATTTACAGAGACTTGCTTGCTAAAAAAATGAATGTGCATAACCAGAATTGGCTGAGAACTGAAAGTATCACAGAATGTTAGGGGTGGGAAGGGACCTCCAGAGATCGAGTCCAACCCCCCTGTCAGAGCAGGACCATCTAGTCTAGGGCAGGTCACACAGGAACGCATCCAGACGGGTCTTAAAAGTCTCCAAGGAAAGAGACTCCACAACTTCCCTGGGGAGCCTGTTCCAGTGCTCTGGAACCCTTACAGTAAAGAAGTTCTTTCTCATAATAAATATAATAAGAGTATAATAAAGAAGAGGAGTTTTCTCGGGAAGTCATAGCCCAAGGCAACAGAATGGAAATCCTCTATCCTATTCTGATAAACTATATAAACAGACCTTGCAAAATCAGTGCATTTGTGTGTGTGTGTAATCAGGCAGTGTTTCACAATCTGAGTTTAAAAGTATTGCAGGTATTGACAGTTTAACAAGGCTTATAAGTGTCAGTCTGGTGTTTATTGAACAACTTAAACAGGGCTTTCAAAGATAAGCTAGAAATCTTGCCAAATATTTCTGCAGAAATTGTTCCTAGACATACCCAAACAGCGTTGCCACGTGAACAGGGCACAGCTCTCCACGCAGTCTGCTACTTCAGCGCTCATCAAGGCTGCTCTGCTGTGCTCATGGCACAGGACTCAGGTCCCAGTCCTGGCTCAGAGCCCAAATCTGCAGCTGCTTCACGCTCAGCACTGCTCCTGTTGAGCTCCACAGGAATCCCACCACGACAGCAGCAGCTGCACCTCTGGGCCATTAGCTACAAATGAAGTGTTTGACCCTGGGCGAGTTACCTGATGGCTTTCCAATGTTTTAGATCTCTCAGGAGGAAATCTAGATAAAAAGCAGGAGCTGAAGAGAATTGGCCACGCTTATCTTTTGTAAGTGAGTAAATAGGGCTTTTTTGTACCTCTTCAATGAAAGGACAAATACACTAAAAAGTAAATGAACGACTAATAGGGGTTTTTTTTGACTCAATAGGAGAGACTTAAATTAACTATAATTCATTAGTTTCACAAAAGTCTTAGAATATTTTATAACAGACTTCATATACATAACTAAGAGAATTAATTTCTATGATGTCTAATGGTATGTACGCTCAGGATATATTTTTCCCTGATTTGTCTTTCTGAAAATAAAGTTCAAAGAATATTAACAAATGCTGTAAAAAGGGTAAAAAGAAATGTATGCTACAGCTTAAACATATCTGATGCACCATTTTGAAATGCTTTAGTAGTGCCTTCACCTAACCAAGGAAGTCGCTCCCCTGGATCTAACTGCAGGACAGCAGAACTAGTGCTTAATCTACTCCCTAATGACAGAAGAGGCTGTGACATACAGTAACTGAGTCGTCTCACACCCATGATAGGGAATTGCTTTCTGAAATGTCAGTGCTGCTCATTCAGAACTTTGTTCCTCGGTCTGGGAGCACTGATAAGAGGGATGGCAACTGCCATGCTCACTCGTTGGTGCCCAGGAAATAAGCTCACAGGATAGCCAAATGCTAGGGAAAAAGCACATCATCCCCCAGTGTTTGACTCCATTCTCTAAGGAATGTCCACAAGCAGGCGAGTCATTCAGGCAGAATTAGCTGGGTTAGTTTAAACAGCTTAAATTCAGCATAATTCAAGGTGGGGAAGAAGTAATGTATTCTTAACAATCCCATGCTATCAGTAACCTTACTGAAGAGTGCCAGAACATGTATCTGCTTTACTCTAAACTGGAACAAAAGTGCTTACAAAAATACTTTTTTTTTTTTTTTAAAGACACTAAAAATCCACTTTGGCCTTTCTGGTCTTATTATGGAAAGCTAGTGAATTATTTCTACAAACACGTAAGATGAGCAGCCACCTTTTGATTATAATTGGAGAGACATTGACCTGAAGTAGTCACTGTAAAATCTGTGAAGCTGCCAGGAAAGGTAAGTTGTCACTGGAAGATAGGTGAATTTGCAAATTGGGTCAGTTAACCTCAATTAGTTCCTTGGGCTGAAACACTAATGAAAGCATAGCAAAATGTAGTTCTGAGCTCAGAGGAAAGCTTACAGGGATCTGGGGACTGAACTTAAGATCAAAAAGGGTTCATTGAAGTTCACACTGAGTAGCTTTATTTTTTCTGCTATTTTAACTATGTCAGTTAAGGCAGGTTAGGAACGACAGCCAAGAAATCACTTCCACCCCAAGTGAAAACAAGCAGGCATGTGGGTGACCTCTCAGACACCCAGGACACTGGATAATAACCACTTAGCATCTCCCGTGACAAAGCCTCCCCAAAGACCCTCCCTCACACGCCTGTGCAGTAAGGTGCTGTGATTTCACACCACAGCTGGCAGGCCTGTGGGCTCCTGTCCCTGCTGCTGGTGTAGCACTAATCTCCCTTGCCTGATCCCAGAGCATGTCCCTGTGCTCTGCTTTGTTCCTGTGTGCCTCTGTCAGTCTCAGCTACTGTAATTTCTAAGCTATTGGTTTTGCTCACTTGTCCTTACAATGACTTAGGGTTTCTGTATGCTTTACACACATGATTGCTCCCTTTGATTTCTTCTTTGAGAAGTTAATATCACACACTTCAAAGGCAACCAACAGAAGCCTTGTGCAAGGAGGCTGTAATGGTTCATTTTGGGATTGTGTAATTTTGGCATGAACTCTGGAAATTTCTCCTTTAAAGCAACATCTTCCATTTGGCAGTTAGCTTATCTCTCAAAAGACAGTAACCCTTATTTTACCTACTGTAACTTCAGTTATTTTTGTCATTCAAAGCCACTTCAAGTTCTCTTCTACTCTACTAAGCTCTGAAATCCGGTAGTATTTTTCTGTTTTTTCTCTGAGCACAATTTAAACATATTTAGAAGTCAGCCTTCCCACACTACAGTAACTGTCTGAGTCATTGAATTTAGCCCAAACAACAAGAACCAATTTGGTAGTTTGTTCTGGGGAAATCTGCTCCTGGCCCTGATAAACACCATGGAGCGGAACACAATCGTAAATCCCACATCAGACACAAAGTTTAGACCATAATAAAACCAGCAAATACAACTGCACCAGGCCATTGGGGGAGAAAGGACATGTGAAAGGTATTGCCATTGCCATGTATCCCTTAAATAGCAACAACTCCATTAAATTAAATTTTCACATTCCCAGAGGTACACAACCTATCCTACAACAGGAAATAAAGGACTCTAGTGGTTCCTACAGCAAAGGCATATGGGGACTCTGCTCTCTAGGCTACTGCAGAGTAAGAAACTAGGATATGAATTTTGAGACAGGCAATTTAACTGGAAAAAGATCAATCGGTGATTAATGCATCAGCAGATGTGAACTGGCAAATTATTACTGGAATGAATGGAAATGTAGTTCCTGCCACCTACACTCACTGAGACTTTTGCTGTTTATTGTAACGCATGGGTTGAGACTTCAGTTTTCCCTTTGGGTTTTCCTACATAAACTTGGTTTTCTTAGGACACAGTAATCTTCCCCACCATTAACCCTCTACAGCTGGGAGTCTAGTTTAAGGAAAGCATTGTTAGAAAGAGTCAGTCAAGCAATCTCAGGAGAGGTATCTCAGAGATGGGATGAACTGCCTGATGACCCCATCTCTTTCTGTTTACTGTAGAGAGTAGACTTTCAAGCCTTAGGCAATTCACACTGAAAAAAGCAGATAAAAAAGGAGACAAATTCCACCCTTAACATCTCTGTGTCAGCCACCCACCTAGAAAGATGTGGATAATGCTTCCTTTCTGCACAGTTACACCGATAGTGCACATCTAGTACTGGTTGTGAAGTATTCAGACTTTTTGGTGGAAGAGCGCACAATTTATTAGTTCATGATTTAATTAGGATTGATAGCTCAGGAGTACACACACACAATGGGTAAAACAATGTGTCCAAGCTATATAAAACTTTGTGTAACTATATCTTCCTTCAAAGGTTGCCCTGTTTTGATTTTCTTTGCTGCTACCTTATTTGGCACAATTGGTTCTTAGAGCAAGTTGAGAGAAGAGTAAATAACTAGTTAGTAGCTGAGCAAGTAGAGATCATATGTTCGTGTCTTTTAACTGCTGTTTCTGTGAATTCTTACACATGCAAACAATTTGAGATCCAAAAGGAGTATCTATTAGTGTAAAGCTGCAAGATTGTTTCCTGATCAGGGCCTTAGCTAGCAGCTGATATATTAAAATAATCTCCTGTTTCTCCAACAGTATTGGAAAGCGTTAGAGTCTGCACAAAATTCATTCTAATAATGCTTTCCTGAATTATTTGTCTACATTTGTTTTTCCAGGGAGAAAATTCAAATATCAGCACTCCAGACTACTGAAATGTATCTAACTCAAGATGAGATCTTTAGTTCAGCGCCGTGTTTTTTTCCCAGCATCTCTTCATAGCTTGATGACATTTCTCCATGCATCTATTATTCATATATGTTCTTGTCCCTTGTCTACCTGAAGTCTTGTTTGTAACTGAATTACTTGGAACAGATAATTGCATCTATCACAACCATCAAATTCATATGCTTCTCTAACAAAGGAAATTCTGACCCAAAGGAAGCTTAGCTCATATTGCTGATGGGTGATATGAAGACCTGATTTGACATTTGGACAGCACTGCTTGGCTTTGTTTTGTAATAGAACAGCTAAAACCTGAGAATCTGCTCATTTTCATAGTGGCAAGAGGCTGTTGTAGATCATGTAAAATTGCATTAAGCTGGCCTTGGTTTTATATTTAATTTTTTGTACCAAAACCATATTTTGGATTCTTAAACAGAGTTAGAATATTTAAAATGAGCAAAAGCATTTCTACTCAGTAGATATACAAATGAACATAACAGCCAGTACTAACTCAGCAATTGCTCAAAGGTACGTTTGGATGTAACAAAACCCAGGAACTCTTTACCCATAGTGGGAAACACAGTTCATCAGAACCTCTCCTTTTTACCCACTTTTTTGGACGTCCTTCAAAATGGGAGCTTCCATGGAAAAAGTTGATTCTTGATAACATGTCTGAATTTATTCTGACATCACACTGAGTTCTGAGGGTTTTTATATGTAGGTAAGAGCTTTTAAGACACTAAATAAAATGCAATGTGATGTGACCATGGCTACGAGCTGTGATTTCCTTTCCTAAAGGCCTTCACTTCTTTTCATTTGCTGTGCATAGCCCAAGTGGTCAGCCCAGAATTAGATGTTCATCTCACTGCTAATGTCTGGGATGCCATGGAGATGGCGGCAGTGCAGTCTCTGCTTTGAAATGGATGATTTATTTTATTTTTTTTTAAAGGGTGTAGTAAGTAAGGCCTGATTCCTTTAAGGCCATTGATGCATACTTAGGTCTGAACTCTGATTTCAGTCATAGCCCAGCTGTATCAAAAGGACCTGGATTTTAATGCTTAAATATCCTAATGAAGCGCTGTTAAAGTAATTAAACAGGGCTACCTGTATAATTGCCTTATAGCATTAATGCCATCTTAACTTATACGTTTCCTGCCTCATGCTTGCGAACCTCAGCCTGAAAACTAGCATGAATGTAATTACTGCTTAATCCCTAAGGAACTACAGTTAGAAAATTGATAACCAACCTCAGGGGAGACTTCTGTTATTCCAAACTGGGATAAACTCTGATGCAAAATGTTGATATTAAGGGAACGCAGCACTTCTTCAGATGGGAGCGCCTCAGAAATTCCTGGCTTTCTGTTCAGTGGGGACACAAACAGTTCCACACAGTTCTTCTTCCCCTAGGAAAACAAACAACAAAAAAAGCAGAATCATAGGAAGGGTCTGAGATGCCCAGAGAGATGATGGAGGCACCATCCCTGGAGACATTCAAGGCATCCCTCAGAGCCTTGATGAGGCTCTGAGCAGCCTGACCTAGCTGGAGATGTCCCTGCTTATTGCAGGCAGGTCGGACTAGATGACCTTTGGAGGTCCCTTCCAACCCAATATATTCCATGACTCTACGATTGGATAGTGTGTGCTGTCTATAGATTTTAACTATAATTCCAAAACCAAAGGCATGTCATATAAAGGCTGCCATCAGATCTGTGAGGAGAGTATAGCTATTCCCTGACTTCTTAAGTCCCAGCTGACCCTGCAAGAAAATGCAAATACCACACAGGGACATGTGCTTTGTCTCATTCACTATTGGCATGGTACCCTCTTCTTGAGACTAGTACCTTTAAACAAGACAGGTCAATATAATATGGTGAGGGGAGGTGCCATGGGACGGGGTCAAGGTTCCAGCAGGGACTTTAGCAGATAATTCATCTGTTCTGAGATGAAATGCAGCCCTGGTTTAGAAGATGGTTCTTAAACAGGAATGCTTAGTATAATGCTGTGGTATTTTGGCACTGCTTTCTAATCCCATGTCAACACATTGCAGACACAGACCACAACAAAGTATAAAGTCCTTTAGTTGACTGCAGTGGAACTCCTTAAAATGGCACAACAAAATGAAAGGACCAGAACATTTACATTTAATTGGTAGATGGAGAATTCCTACTCTTTGCTCTATTAATTCCTGTCCTGGTGTATTTGATGCAGTCCTGGTAGCTCAAGGAGTGCTCTATTAGAGACATCAGTGACGCTCACTCTGTCATAAGGGAACAAAAGGAGAGATTGCAAGAGGGTTCCTCTGGTTGTGATAGACTAGAACAGCACCTGAGACCAATGCTCTAGACAGTGCCTATGTCCAAATAGGGTATGGGAACGTGGGTCCCCAGGGTTATGGACAACTTAGCTGAGACTGTGACACAGAGTCCAGATCTGGGGGGTTCCACACACACAAGGTAAGCATGGAACTACCACCTGCATGACTGCTTGTGCAGGCAAGAACCTCACCAGTCTGGTTATTTGCTGTTCATCATTATGGAATGGGAGAGATCAGTTCAAACCAGAATAACCCTGATATCCCCCTGTCTCCTTCCCCTCACCTTGAATATGCATCATCATCATTACTGAAGTGAAGAAAAAGACACCTTTTACTATTCTTAAAATATCTAGTTTAGCATTCACAAGTAGAACTGCACAGAAAAGGATGCTTTCAAATATATTTATACTTAATCTGCCCTCTGTGTTATCACACGTGCCACTGGTCCACCTGCTTGATGGTAAGGGCATTGGCTACCAGTGGGACTGGGCATTTTTCAGTGGGACTATTCAGATCAGCAGGGTTGTACACAGACCTACAGGTCTGGAGCATCAGTTCAAGGCAGAGACTTCTGTCAAGTTGTAGAAGCTGATTTGAGGCTGCCATCCTACTCTGATGTGGGTAGGTGGCTGGTTCTGGGTATAGGTGGAAGGTGCAAGGCAAGGCTTGGTGGGGACACAGCATTCCCAGTGTTTCGTGCCTCTTCTGTTTAGTAGTTCCTCCACCTATTAAAAGACCTTTATGGGTGGAGGATATACAGAAAAGGTTAGGGAGACACTGGAAATGCCCAGTTAGTATTTTCCAGCATGCTGTGCATTGTCTGTAAGAGACTAGCAGGCCCTTTGCTCCCCCTGTGCCCAACCACATCCTGGCTGCTAGGCTCCTGATCACTCCTGAGAGCTGCTCACTGGGCAGGGAGTCAGCTTACCTCACTCCAGTATCTAAACTACCTCCAGAGAGAGGAAAGAGCCTGGCATCTCTAGGGAATGACTTAATCCACCCTAAAATAATCAGGATCTCAATGCCTCTTCTCCTCCAGTTGCCCTCCTCTATACTGCTTTACAGGGAGCCTAGATGAGTAGCTTAGACAAGGCTGAAGTGAGGTGAGATGAATTTTGCCACACCCTGCTTGTTTCCCAGCACTCTGCACGACAGGAACTGTCCCATGTTAGAAAGAGGCGAAGTGGGAATCATGGTATATATTTTTCTCCCTTGTGAATTTTGACCGTGTGATTTTTAGAGCAAATAAATAGGGCAAAAGTTTGCTTGCTTTCTTATATCACTAAGATATTAGCTCACAGCAGACTTCTACGGATGTCAAGAAGAATAACCAATTGATAGTATTTACTGTATTCTGAGCTGTATATGCAGGTGCAAAATGACATTACCTCTTTCCTTACATCAAAAATGAGATGAGAAAGGGAAAAGCTATAGAGTCAGTACAAAAATAAACAGCATACTTCCTCTGCTTAGTTACCTAATTTCCACAGAGCATAGTAAGAAAGCTACTAAGTGACTTAGTGTGTTAAAATACACATCCCAAGTTTTGCAGCATTTCTCATTTGATTGTGCTTTTTTCTTTCTGGTTAATGCAGCGAGCAATGGAGACTTAGCATCACTTGTCACGAATGAGTGACATCTCTGGAGAACATGAAAAGGGCTGCATTGCATTCCTATTGATCTTTTCTGCTCTACTTCTTGTGTGATCCTTTCTTACAGAGACATTATTTGAAGGAGTTTTCTCATCCTTTCTGATGTATACAATCCTATCAAGCTATCAAGGCAGGAAATACTTTCATGCTGAACCTGTCAGTTTTCTTCCCTCATATTCAACCTGCATATAGAATAAAATAAAATAACTCTTTTTCCCTCTGCAGTGAGTTGAAAGCTAGCAATACACACATGATCTTTTGGGTTTTTTTTTGTTTCACGGTAAAATTGTCATAAAAAGACAAGTGTAAAGAATGTATGCTTTAACCACACACAGAAAATCATACAATGACAATTGTTTTTAAAAAGTCTTTTTTGCTAGAAGCAAATTTGTCCTCTTTTGCAAATATGATGCTGTAGTCTACAAGATTATGTCTGAGAATAGATATAGCTGAATAGCAAAATATGAATATTAATATTGTGAGAAAGCATTTCATTTACTAATGGAAAGTCTGGGGCTAAATCCTCAAAATGTTTTTGAAGGGTGGAATCACATTTTTTCAGCTGTATTAAACCTTTGAGAAACAAAATATGAAAGTGTTTCTTAATTAATGAGATGTAGAAGAGCATTGCAATGAAAGCTAAGGAATAAGCAATCTGCTTATGAACAGGACACAAAAGAGATTTATCTGACTTAATTTTTCTCTAAAATGTAACTGAGAATGGTTTTCTTTCAAAAGAAAATATAAATAATTTTGTAAAGTAGATCTATTTGTAATGTAGATCTATTTTTCTATAGCACAGTCTAAAAAAAAAATTGGAAAAGTATTTTTCTGTCCTATTTCATTGCACTTTTCTATAGTGACAGGAAAATAAATTTAAGCGAATTCAAAATAACCAGGTACATTTGATTATACACAGCCCTTTGGTACTTACAATGAGTCTGTTGATATGAACTTGCTGAGGTAACAGTCCCAGTGCTGCTGCCACACCTTGGCGAAATATCCGAAGCAATGTGATATTCAGCTTGTTTACATCCATTTGCAGTGTCTGGAAAAGAAAACCAGTTCATTTGAACTCCTGGCTCACACATTCAATTCTCAAGATGACTGATCTCTGGGACTCTTCACTAATTGTTTTTCTTCCCAGAACGATAATTTGAGCAATCTACTTGCATTGCAGTAAAGAATAAATCCAAAGGAAAATTTAATCATCTTAAATGCTGCTTGTTAGTGAAGTACCACCTTTCCTCAACTACATTCAGAATAGGTTCCAGAGGGTTTTGGCTAAATTCCTTGGACAAGTCACAGTGTCCAAGATAACACAATTACTACATTAAAAATGAAAGTCAAGCATTAAATATCAATTCACCTTTAAAGAATCAGATGTTGGATTTACACAATGAATATTTGCTTTGAATGTTACCTTAGCATTTCTCCCTGTAGGTGAAAAATGAGTCAGACATAGTGAAATTATACAATTTAAATTTTGATTAGCGGTTTCTGAGATCAAAAAAGAAACATTCTGGATGTGTTCCACATACTTGAATTTCCTAAAACTTCCTCATGTGAGTCAGAAAATGCTCTAATTCTCATCAGAGACCAACTATATCACAGAAGCATTTTTTTTTCTCTGTGTTAGGATCACAGTGAAACTTACAGATTTCCTCAAGTTCAAATCCTTCCTGTGAAGGCAGTGGAATTTCACCCAGGAAATAATTTACATTCAAGTCTCCAGTTTCCAAGAAGACCCAGATATGAGGTCTTCATGCGATGCCTAGTGGCAAATACTTTCATGTGGTACTTTGAAGTCCCTCTCTTCCCTTCCATATCCCCTTTGCAGACAATATGTAGTGGAGAAGAGAGGGAGAAGGAGTATGTTAGACAGTCCCAGAAGGATTCCAATATTTCTGGCAACTTCTGACTTCAGAAGTTAGAAAATTCTGACTAAGCCAGTTGACTTGAGCTGAAAAAGTTTTTTTTCATTTAAAGTTCCTATTAAGCCATAGGCCAGCTTGGGGCTCGGAGGATCCAAGCATGCAGTCTTGCTTCCTAACCAGAGCTGCATAAAGAAAATTAAATATCCATGGGTCAGACATCACACTGGGAACATGGTTATCATCTAGAAAGAAAGGCCATCTTTTTCTCAAAAGAAACCATCATCACACATTTTGACTGTTCTTCATTTATCAGAAGTATTTATAAGTTACGATGTAAAAATATAAAATATTTGCTTTCCTTTTCCACTGTCAATTTTATTTTTCTATCAGTACTGAGCATTTTTAATTTTTTCCCTTTTCCTCATTTTTTTTTACACTAATGGGACTGTCAGGTCTTGATACATCATCTGAAATCTGCTTTTATCACACAACTGAGCCTTAACTCAGCTGGAAGTATCACCGAAATCTTCAATTTACATTGCCCTTTCTACCCTGGCATTTTCAAAATGCAAAATCTTCTCTTTGCATCTTCTTGAATTAGACATCCTAAGTGGTTACAAAACTGCTCCAGCTTTGTCACCGAAACAGAGGAATGTCTTGAGAGGGGACATATGGAGATCTAATAGATGTCAGAACCATTTCTTCTGTTTCCCAGACTCTCTCTCCGGCCATGGTGCACCTGATCAACATAGCAGATGAGAATTTGTCTGGAGCTGTAAAGCCATCACTACACTGGAAGCCAACAGCCTGGTCTGAGGATCCTGGGTAAATGAAAAAGGGAGTTGTTGCTGACACAAGAACGTTGTTACAAGGGTCCCCAGAGATCCATCAGGATGGTATAAAGAGTGCACAACTGCTCGTCTAAGTCAGTGACCCTGAATTATGGGGATAACGCTAACTGTTCTTACTGACCAAAATTAGCAGGCATAGAATTAAAATATGTTCACTTAAACATAGCTTAGCCAAGGATCAGATCATATTAATAGAGATGTTGTTAAATAGTGTGTTAAGAGCTCACTGATCAAGACACTGAAATGAAACAGACAGAAAATACTTAGCTTCAGATGAAACAGAAGATCTTAAAGAGCCTATAAGGTCTTATAGATTTGGTATGCTGGGATTGTGGTTCATCATATCCAGGGACAATAGAATGTGGTGAAACTCTGTTATCTTCAGGAGAGTCACATTTCCTTCTACCACATCTGAATTTGGTCCACCATGTTCTATAGCAGAGTCATAAGAGACTGCACAGTGCGTGTGCATCTCTGTAACAGCTATACTGTCCTTGGTGGTTCTGGGGGAAGCCTGAAGATCACAGCACTTGCTCTGTCAGTCTGGCATCAGCCTGCTTAGAAAGCTCATCTGGCCTTGCAGCTGGAGATTTCAGGACCCTTTTAGGAAAACCTCCTAAGTAGGTATGATGAAGTTTGTCCTTCAGCCTCACCTCAGGGAGCTTCTTGTACAGCAATAAAGAATTTTTTTTTTGTGACTATTCATCAATAAAACCCCCAAGAAGTATCTGAGGAAGAAAAAACTCACATTTTTTATAAGAACTGTTCCTTGCTGTCCATTGAAGTGACTTACTTCTCAATTGCTGGTGTTATTGTGAAAAGCCCTAGCTCCTTGGCAATTACAATAAAGATTAAGTAAGAGTAACATAGGCCACCCTCTTCTACATCAGGCAGCACAACAGAGTGCATTTGCCTCTTCCTATCAAGAGGAAAGTTAGCAACCCAGAATTTGACACTTTGATAATGGCATTTCTAATTCAATCAGTGAAAGATGATGTACAGAAACGGTCAGTGGGACCCCGAGAACACCTGCTTTAGAGTGAGCAGCACATCACAAACGTGATCTCTGCTCTCTATTTCCCCCTTGTTTGTACTAGATTTGTAAAAGCATAAAGCAGGAGTGGACCAGACTGGAGACACATCAGGTTCAGCATGAGCATCCTGTGGCAAACTCTGGATGCTTATGGAAAATGATAGGAACGGGGCAAGATTATAGTCTTTTCCCAAGTTCTTTCTGACAAGATCCAGACTAATTTATGCCTATTCAGCACTAAAAGGCAATTGGCCCCCTCAATTCCATGAATGTTATGATACAATAACCCATACTGACACTATCAAGATCTGGGATGAAGGCAACGCCTTGGGCCATTATACTCTCAAACTCTGGCATATGCCCTCTCAAAGGTGACTGAAATTTAAGTCTGACCTGAGGTTCTGGTACAAAATTGCCTTTCTGCAAATTCTTGACTGTGACAATTTTTGTTGAGAAAAGTTAGTCAGAGAAAGAAAAAAAAAAAATAAAGGAGAGAAAGAAAAAATAGAGTCATCACTTTTCCCATCAGCAGAAAATGTCTAAAATTTGAATGTTCTAATATTATTGAGCCATTCTGATGGCATGCCTAGATACTATATTGACTACAGTTCATAAAGGTTAGAGATTAGGATAGAAAACTGATAATGGATGAACTAAAAATGCAACAATACCTGTACGTTAGACAAACAATACAAACTGACATTAAAAAAATCATTCCTAGAAGGGAAACTTGTCCAGCCATTTACAGGTTACAATTACACAGACAAAATCATTATGCATGCTAATGCCACCTGCAATAAAACATGAAATTAAACCCTGTAAAGTAAATCCATAAAAATAAATAAAACAAAGCATTAGCACAGACAAGTTATGTCTTACTGTGTTCCTCTGGTTGCTCCTTTTAGTTTGGAAAGGAAAGGGCTGAAGCATCCCAGTTAGACAGCACTAATAATTTACCCTTTGCTCATCTGCAGTGTTTATCATGGATTGCAGCCTACTCTCTAAGGAGTTTATGATTTTTGAATCCACTACTGCTGTTGGCAACAGCAACTTGTTAAGCCAAGAGGTGAACACCCTGGAGGACTCATTTCCCTGAGCACTTACAGACTTGGATATTGCAACTGCAGTGACAGTGTCTAGGTTTACATGACCTAAGCAAAACAGGTAGTTTGAAGAGAAGGAATTTTCTGCTTGTAATGGAAAACTTGGGAAGAAAGAGTTCCAGAAAAGGAAACAGCACAAAAAAAAAAAAAGGATTGAAGACCATTCACAACTGAGATCCTGCAGAGGCTTTTTGATAAAGATTTTCATGTTAAAGAAAATAAAACAACAAATGAACAACATGAAAATGATGAATGTATAACGTAGTTTCTTAAATAATATTTTCAGGATATTACAATAAATTATAATCTGCCAAGTCAAGTTCTGATTCTCAAGAAAAATTCAGAGATACCTCACTTATCTTTTCCTTATCATCAGTGATATCCTTTCTGCAAAGAGCCTCAAAGATACCATTCCTTTTCTATATATTGGTTACTCCTCTCTAGATGACTCCTGACCCTACCACCACAGGTGTTTTCTCAAACTTCCAGCTAACCTGAATACACAGGAAGAAAAATAATCAAAGATGAAGAAGGTTAAAGGTTAAAGTATGTCTTCATAACACTTTGCACAATGATTCACGATGATTCACAAAATGAACAAAGATTAAAGGTAAATATTAAATTATACATAAAAAGGAAATCTACATACTTAAGGGCCATTGGGCAGCTAAGTTCTATTTCATGCTAAAACCAAAGAAAGACAACTCTAAAAACATAAATAAAAATAACTCCTGTTTACTTAGGCCAAATGAAAAAGAAAGCTTAGAAAAGAGTTGTCTTACCTGCTTGTGCTCCCCTTATTTATGTTTTAAGAAAAATGCTATGAAATGGTTTTTGCACAAAAGCAAATACTGGACTGTAGCCAGACTGTGCATTCCTCCACCTGAGCATCCTGCTCTGCTGCATGCACAGTGACAGTGTCTGCACTCAGTGTCATCTTGTTTCATCTTGTCACCCCCATCAGACAGCCTCAGATGGACAACCAAAATCTTTATCAGGAGTGAAGGTGAAAGTGTTGCAGCTGTATTTGTAGCATTTGGGTACAGGACTACAAAAATTCTGGCAACAAACTGTGAAAATACCTGCATTTACTTCTTTCCCTAAAAGCTTTAGATTTGCCTAACTGTTGCTGTTCAACTATTTGAGATCGGAGCTGCACTGGGTGGTAGGTCAGCACCTTTGGC